GACCATCTGTTCACCTTCACTGATTTTTTAAGCGAAGGCCTTTCTTTGTAATTCCAATTCTACTAACGATTCGAAAGCTTAATCCCATTTTTCTACCTGAGGATTTCAAACCATATTCTGTGGATCTATATCGGTCAACGGCTATAGGTGGTCACAGTGGGTGACGGCGATTCCCTTTTGATAATCATCAACACAGTGATCATCTTTCTCTTCTCGAAGCCTTTAATGTAAACATTGTAGTGGATGGTCATTTGAGAAAGCAAGGAGCTCTTATTGTGGGCAGTTTTGCGCTCTCATGTCCAAATTCCAACTCGTTCAAAACAACTTTAATTTACTCAACTTTCCACCTTTCTTCTGATGACCCAAATTTGACCACAAATTACTATAGAAAGCGTTAGCAAGAAAAATATGAAACTAGACCCGATATCCATAAATTCACGGTTATATTTAGAAAGAACTGAGTCTTCCATATTGTAGCTAGTGACTTTATCGACCTTCTAGGTGGGCAGAACTGCCGATAAAATTTTTTGAACAAAAATATCGTCAGAGGAACCTTTAGTTTCAGTTTTATTTTGAGGATTTCTTTTCCAAGAATATAAAGATCGTCTAGTTCGCGAATGGAGTTGGAGATGTTGCCGTATGTGGGTTTTAAGCTGAAGGGCTCGATTCGCCTAAAACCTGCCTTCCCCTCTCTCCCACTGCTGTTTCTTCTAGACAAACCCGCATCGATGACTAAACCAACGCCCATTTCTTTTCCTTGACAAAATTCCACAACTGGCCAACCGTCGTGTCTACAATCCTATTTATTATGTAAAGTGTACACTTTGTAGCAATAGATTCTATCAGAACGCTTCGTCTACTGTATTCTACTTTTCGTCAATATTGTGACTTTTTTTTTCTAGATCTTAACGGTCAAATATGACAGTATTTTTCGGAATATTTCGGAATAAGTTCTTCGGAATATTTTAGTAGTACTTTGTGTGTGAAGTGCCTTAACTTTTCTGAAATAGGAATTTCAGGCTGAACCCTCTGCAATGCGAATTCATGCCACCTCATCCGGGCCCATTTGGCCAACAGCTGAATCCGTTTGCACAACAAGCACTCTTCTATGGACAACAACCTCAGTTCGCTCAGGCTACAAGCGGCACTGATTCACGACGAGGCGGTCATGGAACGACTAGGTGAAGATTTGTGCTTCCTCTATCGAAATCATCAGAAAAGCAGCGCTTTCTGATAACATCAAGCAGTATTCGTGACATTTCTTATTTCCAGAATAGCAGTGATTTACTGCAGTGCAAATAACTTTAAGGATTAATTCTGTGTCTCGATTGACGTAAGCACTTTGAAATGTCTAAATCGCATTCTGTAATCTTCTACTCTGCTTAATCAGTAAATGATTCATGCGAGTATCAGTAAAGACATCATTCATTCCTGTTGCTCGTCAGTACTACCCTAAATGCTCTCTAGTTCTGAGAATACGAGCACTTTTGAACGGCACTGTTGTGCATGAGGTCCTATTTTTGAAATACTGATACTAATAGCTAGCTTGCCGAGCTCGTCTCTAAGAGCCGCTGACGCTCATTGACTCTTCCAAAGTATGCTTCTCTTGAATTGCTTTTTCCCCAACCCAATTACTTTCTAGTCTCTTAATTCCGGAATTTTGCCCTTCTTGAATCCAATACATTATTACTTATCATAATAAAGGAAAAAGGATAAAGATCTCGTCTTCGATCTATCCCTGAGGGATACACTGTGCATTCGACTTCATTAAGCATCGTTGGAAGTGTTTGAGTGCATATCTGGCCTTTACAATGACTTGCGGTAGCCTACCGATGTATCGAGCAAGTGCCGCTATACTCGCAAACAAGTCTGGCACCAATTTGCCTACCCTGAAGGGATGGAGGGCCTCGTGGACCTGTGGCACATGGATTGCTCCTATGTGTATTGCAAGGACTGCCGACCACTGCGCTACACGCGTTCACGTATCATAAATACAAGTATTATTGCGTGTAGTCAGGCCATTATGTCAGAATCCAATTCACTGCTTTTGTAGCTGGCTATGCCAGTGGATAGCTCGTCGAGTTCTTGTGTTGAGCTCGTGAACGCAGATGTGGGAGTCGACCAGTTGAGTCACCTTATGTAGGTATTATGAGAAATCTGTCGACACCGTTAATCTAAGTCTCTTTCTCTTATCGTTTACCAGGAAACGTGCTGAAATGATTCGCGGCTAACCGGCTTTATATGAATCTAGAATGAGAGAGACCAGTAGGTGAAATCACATTATTGGAAGAAAATGTTCACTGGAAAGATATAGACAGTGCTTATGATATAGAAAGAACAGATCAATCATGTGACATTCCTGAACAAATTTTAGTTTTGAATTTGAAATCTTCACAAACAGAAAATTAGCCTTGCTAAAAGCGTAACTCTTTAATGGTATGTAAGAATCTATAGAGGACTCTCACAATCATGTGCAGGAAAAGCGTCAACATTTTATCCACTATTTGCGGACGTAACCTATGACGGCGGTGGACTTTGGGTTTGTCGTTAAGACTGCCGGAATTTCATGCGGTACATGATAGCGGCTTAACGAATACACCAGCAGATTTTGATGATCTTCTTGGAACTGACTGACCCGAAATCTTTCTGTCGGTCGTCTTTTTCCATCATTGGATACGACCACCTGAGGCAAAAAGTGGTCTGTGCCAGTATTGGTACGAGTTTCACAAGGAAGTCATTTAAAGTGGAGTAATCCCAGTCGATTGCGAAGACGATAGTAAGTTGTTTATTTATAATTTTATCATATAGTTATTAGGTGATTCGTTAATACTAGCAGTTTTAGAACCAACAGCAGAATTAAGAATACTTTGAAGGAAATATCACAGTGGAAAACACATATTTCGTATTTGTCTTCCGTTTCAGTTATTCAAATAGTTCTCTTTCGGAGATTTTTTCATATCCGCTTCCTTCTTAGTGTTAGCCGATTTTTTTCCTAACATAGGGAGCAAAAATAGTTCCTCAACCCCTCCGTTTCATGACGAATTCAAACAGTGGCACTGAAAATAGCCCGAGAAACCACACTGGGATACTTTAAGTAAATAAGATGTTGTAAGTGAACAAAAATTAGTGTTGTGAAGGCTTTAACGCTAGATAAACCATCTGAAATCGTGCAACGAAGTGTACGGCCATCGTTTCTAGTCCATAACGTTTGAGACGATGTAGAAGAGGCAAGTTGTGGTAGAAATCGCTTCGGAACGCAAGAATATTTTGACGTTCATGGTTACCAAACAATTAAAACTCTTCGGAGAGTAGTTAATAAGGTGTCGACGAACTACGGTTATTTCAGTGTCCACTAAAACTGGTAAGTAATCCTGCGTTTTTTCTACCCATTCGACAATCTTACTTGGATACTTGGATGGCCCGTCTTCACTATTAGTGCGGGCGCCAGCACAATCTCTACTTTCCCTTTTTTTGTAGACTTGCCGGTTGAGCCACAGTGGTTCCCTGGGATCCTGAGGCCCGCCTGACCAAAGTCTGCCGCGAAGCCATTCGACAATCAAGGTCAAATATCATAAGGCAATCCATCCATTCGTCTTATATGGAATGATTTTATCCACCCTAATAGTTTCAGTATTCTTCATTATCTCGGGCATTGTTTGTTATTGTTTTTCCATTTAGATGTTTTATGCGATAAAGTGCGGGAACTATTTTTAGAGTAGAATATTTATGTAAACAGTAAAGAAGTGTAATCCTTCTTTTATTCTAATGAACTTCATTCACCACTAATCGTGTAATGGGTACTGTAGTGAGTAAAATAGAAAAGGGTAAAGCTCTTGGCGTTGACCAATCCCTGAGGGATTCTCCATGCATTCGACTTCACCAAATATCGTTGGAGGTGACTGAATGCATATCTAGTCTTCACAATGACTCGCGGTGGCCTCCCGATGTATCGAGCCAGTGTTGCTATCCTCCCGGACAAGTCTGGTACCAATTTACCGACTCCAGAGGGATGGAAGGCTTGGTGGGCCATAGACGCGGTGGTCGATTCCACGTGCGTGTCGCAGTGGCGCCTCCAACCACTGCGCCACACGCGCCCTTTCTTTGTAGTGAATAAATAGATACCAAATATGTTGTGAAAGCACGAAAGCTATGCTTTCTACTAAGCATAAACTGGACAAGAATATTCTACGACCTCAAGTTACCTCTTCAAACAATGGTGGCGGTAGTGGTCGGTTATGGCAGTGTGCGTGAGAAGTGTGGAAGATCTATGAAACTGCCAGCATAATCAAAGGATAACAGTTCAGTGTGAGTGAATGCTGTTGGTTATGATGAAGATGATGATGATAGTGAAAATGGAGTCTTTCTACGGGTGGTGAGTGAGCGTACGATAGTTAGCGCAAGAACCGTTGAGAGTATACTAGTCGTTTACATTCGAGTTCGGCGAATAGCCAACCAGTCATACCGTCGCCGCATCGCCGTTTTTAACCACCGCCACAGCCACCGTCCAACTATCCGCAATTCAGATTCAGTCACTGATAAGACTACCGTTTCTCCCGATCTCTCTGACTTTCTTTCAGTTTCCTCTACTTTGACTCTCCTCTTATCGTTTACCATCGTAAATTTCTCTTTCTTGAAATCTCTTTAATACGTCCTTGAAACTTTAAAAACAGTTTTACTTGTAGAAAATCTCAACGAATCACTAGAGAACTGGCAAATTCCAGCATATTACGAGCCTAGAAATGGGACAGACCTTGGCTCAGAAGCCTTCGGCAATGGTTCTATTTTTCATCGAGTAGTTTCATAAAAACTAATGTCTTAGGTGACGAGGAAATCGCATGTTATCTCCTTTTTTGTAAAAAGAAACATCGGGCAAGAAAAAAAATTGAATGGTACACCATATTCCATTCAAGTCACCGTAGTTTACAGAGCGATTTCTTTTTTTTATTTTTTAGTTCTAACCGTTTTTAGTTTTTTTGTGTTGAGTATTTCCTTCATTCAGTATGTTGCCGCAAACGTTCGATTTTCCCACATCGTCTACAGCAGCGGCTGCAGTTGAGGAAGAAGCGGAAAAAGTGTGCGCCGTTTGCGGTGATCGAGCTGTTTGTTTTCACTACGGTGCACGAACATGTGAAGGATGCAAGGGTTTCTTTAAGGTACTGTGATGATATCACTCTTCTCCGTAACTGTCCTGTAAAATACTTCTAACGATGCACCACATTACATCGTAACGATTGGCATAAGTTTGTATGTTAAATCTAACATTCTATGCGTTTAAGTGTTTCCTTTGAAATGATCGTTGGTCTTCACTACTATGAGAAAATTTCTCGACAATTATTAATAGAAGTACGAACTCGCTGCTGCGAAATCAACAGTAGATTGATGTTTTTAAGAACAAATTCCGTCATCTATTCATTCCTTTCTGCATTAATCATTCGATTATCGATTTTCCCGCAAGTTCGTCACTTGAACTGGTGATATCTAAACAAATTGGGAAAAATTCCTGAGTCATGACCGCTTTTTGTCAAATAATGATTGAAGTTTCGATAAGCTTATTTTCCGACTGTCATATGATTAGATAGATAAATCCCACTTTTTCATGGGTACGACGCTTCTGGAAGGCGTGCTGCAGCGCATGCATTGGTGACATTACTACTTTCACATCTTAGTTACATTGCAGCATCCAAAACGCCTCCAAAATATTAATCGATTTCTGGATTAATCCATGAAAATTCTTGCTTTTCTTTACAGAGAACTGTCCAGAAAGCATCAAAATACGCATGTGCCGGTAATCGTAACTGTCCAATTGAGAAACGCTACCGATCCAGATGTCAAGCTTGTCGATTTCAAAAATGTCTCAACGTCGGCATGGTGAAAGAAAGTAGGTTTTTTAGTGACAACCACGGCGATTACAGTAGAAAAACTAGAATGAGTCTTTAGAGAATAAGAAACGAATGCATGAACTCTTCACTCGGATCACTAACTTATCTTTTTTGTCAGAGATTCTGAAAGTATAGGATGGATGATTATAACTACGGAGACATCATCAGAGGAAGCTTTTGGTGGCTCGTTAAGAAAGCTATTTAGGAAATAGCTCGGTGCCTTTAAATTTTAACACTGGGACACTGTAAGAGAAAATAACCACAGCGAGACTAAATTCACTAATGGCCATAACTGTACTCTGCTGTTCTTCTTTTTTCTTTTATTAACAACCACACTTTTTCATTATTTCGCTTCATTCATTTCTTCTTTTTCATCTTAACTTCGTCATTCTTTTTGGTTGACGTCATGTTTATGAGAACCGTTTCGTTCTTTTATCGTTTTTGTAGAGCTAAAATGCAAGTGGGAACAGTTTTTTTGAAGCTCATTTTCGGGGGATATTTTAAAGTCGGGAGGTTTCATTTTTTGCCAAGAACCAAGACGGAGAAAAACGGCTCTTAATTTGTGATGGGTTTTCGTAAAGTGGTTACTTGACCAGTTTAAACGATCTTTTCCAGTGCTAGCAAAAATGTAAGGAGAACACTGTTAGCCAAAAAAAATTAGTCAATAATTTTATTTACATTTTCCATACTTTCTTGTTTATGGCACGACTACTTAACTAGTTTTTTTTTTTAATCACTTACATCTACTGCATGTCCTTTTTCGACGTCCGTAGCAAAAACCACAAAAAATTCGTTTAAGCTCGGTTTATTATCTAAGGTTACTTGCTAACTTCTACACCAGTAATTCCTACGGCCGACTTCCTATTAAGCTCGGCATTGATGAAACAATTCACTGTCCTGTTGATGAGAAACGCGAGCTTCCTACTTTATTCTTTATTTATGAGCAAGCTGTCGTTTCGGCGGATGCCGTCTTCCACGAAATCTGGAAAGCTCAAGTTGAGTGCAACCTACCCAGCTGAAGACCTTCAAAACACTAAACCAAGGTCTCAATTACATTGAGCACAGAATAGCTTCATAGAACATTCACCGCTTTCTATGAGTCTTTCACTATGTCACATGGAGAGCAGCCGCACAGAGTTCACATGAAAGCGTAGCGTGTCTCTCTCATTTTTTCTATACTAGCAGTTAAATTTCAGTTGTTCGACATGGTTCCTTATCGGGTCGACGTGGACGGTTGTCGTCGAAAACAAAAAGCCATCGTGGTGACGATCAACCCAGTCCTCCACTACCATTGTTAGCACTCATCGTTCGTGCTCATGACGCGTATAAAACAACACCAACACCAGTCAGATATGTAAGTATGCTTAGGATTTCATCAACGACTCTAGAAATCACTTTTGAAAATTCGGAAGTATAAGAGCATATATTCCATCCATACACCTTTGTGGAGTGGCAAGTGGATTTGCTATAATGTTTCTATTACGATTTGTTCATATTGCTTTTTCCGTAGTGTATGATTTAAAAGTATACGATCATAGGTGCAAATTCAAAGCCGTGTTTTGCCCTTTCTTGACATCTTATTGATAGCTAATCGCTGGGAGAAGTGGCATCTGAGAGTGGGTTCAAAGTGGAGATGTACAACATTTCGTTTATCTCTTAGCAAGATGATCTCGTAAGCTCAGAATTGGTCCAACACTTCCAGTTTGGGTACCCGTATGAGAGTAAAGCAATCAAGTAAATTATAGAGACTGACTGATTCACCGTCCGTCATCCCTGTTTACAACATGAGCAAAACCTTGATGTGGGAAAGTTGACTGTGGTGTTCATATCTGATTTCTTTCAGCGAATCCCATTTGTCTACTAGTGATTACCCAAAACAATGAACAAAAATCGATAATAATGATAATAATCAATATCGATATAATAATATTCAACACTTTTCACAAATCCTATGCACCAGTGTTTTCCGTAGTAATAAAATTTGTATTTATTTATTTCAATTTATAAAATTTGCAGTAGTGACGCGCAGTATTTCTTACAAATTGAATTGTTTTGAAGTGAATGGAACATCTAAAAGCTTCCGAACACAGATTTTATCAATCGATAGCCGATTAGTGATCGCAATCGGTCGATTTCAAAACGGCGCTAACCGTTCGAGTACACTCGAATGTCATTTTATATGTAGGGGATAAAATTTAAGTCAGTTGTGTGCTGCGCTGTACTCATATGATTTATGTTGTGCTTTAAAAAAAGAGACTCGTTGTATTATGTTGAATATTAAACCGATCAATACAACGAATAACTTGTAAATGAAGCAATCTTTAATTAGGCATCACTTTTTTTCGAAATCAGTGGATGATAGATAAATTTATCTCCTTTACTATAGTGTTTGAGTCTTCACGTCAACTAACCTTGCCAAGTGAATTAAATGTCATCAAGCTTTTAACGATAATCCTAATCTTTTTGATTAAGTCGGTTTATTTTTCGCAGTATTTTTCCTATAGATATGAGATGAAGGGCAATATCCAGCAAACATTATTTTAAAACAGAAAACCTCAAATCGTTGATGAATGGTGTTTGTTGGCAGGGACACTATGACTACCGTAGTCGTTGATACCGTAATCCCCGATAAGTTCAATCCATCTCTGATAGACGAATGGAAGTCAGATACTGAGAATTTTGATAGCTATGATCTCGCTAGCAGTTATCGCATGACGGTAATATTTTTTCCTTGTTTTGTCAAAGGTAGTAATGCCTCTCGGGAAAACAAAGTTTCTCTTTTTCATTTTTCTTTCTCTATCTTCTAAAGTCTTGGATCCTCTTTTCCTGAGTTTTTTCTAACCTATGAAAATAAGGACTTCGTTTTAAGCATCGGTTATAAGTCAGTATATGAAGAGAGACACTATCATTTTTATCGCAGAGCAGTGATCTCACTAGTATTTTTTAAAATTTATTTTGCAAATATTCAGTATTTACTAAGTGTAGTAATGAGTTTACGACCTACGGAAAATACAGTAATCAGTAATAATAATGGCAATTGTAGATAGGAAACTAGCTGAGACACACGAAACGAACGACCCGCATGGTGCCGTGGTAAACGCGTCAGCACCCGCCAAGGGTAATAGCGCGTTCGTTCCCCACTACTACACACACCTCCGGTCCGGAGTTTTGCAAATATCTCAGTATCACCTTGGTTGTATTCCACATGGTACCCTACTGTGAAAAACTGTAGTAGGCAGCAAATAAAAACTTAATAATCGGTATTCTTCCATTGCACATCAAAAAACAACTCAGCTTTTAAATGTCACCTATAAATATAGCAGGGAACTCCATAGTATTTCCTGAAATGACTAGAAGGTGGCTGATCATCAGCATGGTGTTAAAGAAAATAATAATCGTGATTTAGTGGTTTTTTACTGGTTCTCCATTGATTGATTTTCATTGATTCGGCATACTGTCGACGGTTTGATGTGTCATTGTTCGCGGATGTTTTTCTAAATTAAACGTATCTTTCAACATAATCATGAAATTCCAATACAGAACACTCAATTCCTTCATCCATACTGGAAGAAATGAGAAATATTGATTGATTTTTAGGCAAGCATTACATCAGAGCATATGGTAAGCCTATTGGAAAAGGAATATCATGCCATACAGATGTTCGTCTCCAGTATGCCGCATATCGATGAGCTTTCCGAGACGGACGTACCCAAATTGCTGTCACGTGCCCTTTTCGCTATGATGGCTGTCAGACATTGCTATCGGTCAGGATATAAGTGAATCGATTTTAAATCAATAGAAAAGTAGATGTCAATTGGAAATCGCATGGTGTTTTGCTCTCTGAGAAAGAAGAACTAGTATCTGAGAAATGCTTCTTAGCAGTTCGTGGATTTCAATATCATAAAGCTTGACGGTTCGATGCAGTATCACTTAATGTAGCGATTATGAACAAGTACAGTAAACTTTGTAAAAGTTTAAGCACCGCATTTCGTAGGTAGCTTCACATTCGTAGCACTTCCTCTTATCAAAATTATCTAGTAAAACGCTAAAAAGGGTCCTATTTAAGGATGATCGAAGCCGAGATCGTATTTGAGTGTGGCTCACGTGTTCCTTTAACTGGCTTACCACCACCGTTTGCCGCTTTCTTTCGTCGTATTGCGGAAAAAGCGCCAGCCTTCAAGACAGTTGTCGAATGGGAACCGCAATCGTACTGTGCTCTTCAGGCTATGCAGTTCTTCTCCGGTAACACCGGTAGGTTGTGAACTGATAGAACAGAAATTATCGAAAAGAAAGAATATCAAAAGGACTTGGCGAAGCAAGAGTCTCCGTTGGTGTTGTGAAGAGTAACATGAGTCCACAGAAAGGAAATCTTGGGTTCGACGCCTAACGGAGGCTCTAAGTTTTGCTCAAACCATAGCATCCTTTTCGTTGTATTTCACATATACCCTGCGTAAAAAAAAGAATAGGCAGTAAGAAGAAGTTGAATATTGCACAGATTATTGTTTGAAACGATGAACTCGCCTATGGAAGTTCAACTTTTATTGTCTAGCTTACAAAAATTGGGTTTCTGACTAACAATAGGAAACAAATAACGGTAGACAACACATAAAATTGCTACCTAAAATTACGCGTATAGCGCAGTCTTTAGATGGGCTGTGCAATACCCACGTGGGTCAGTGATTCGATCACGTGTCCCAAAGTAATAAAGCGGCCGTATTAGTTTGAGGTTGTAAAGAAGTGCCAAACTTGTCTGGAAGGATATGAACAACAAGCTGAATAAATTGGTAGACCCCCTTAAGTAGGTGTATAAGGCAAACATTTATTCCATTACGTCAATGATGCTCAATGGAGTCGTTAACTCATGACGTGTCCCCTAGGTATTGATCAATATTGATTGCTTTATCCTTTGTCCTTTAGTTATCAATGCGACATTAAGGAATGAGGGAAAGAATTGGAGTACGCATGGTTCCGATACTTAGGAGAAATTATCAGTTAATCTTTTGAGGAAACAAATCGAATGCGAGAAGTACTACTGGCATTAGCTGGGTAGATGCAATGATGAGTCGTATAAAATAAAGCGAAAAAATAGAACACAATTAGCTCAAAGGGAGTAGATAAAACTCATGGGAACCATCAGGCTCCTATTGGTCATCCACCTAAGCTCCTAGACAATGGTGGATCTAGTAGATTAGTCTGCTTCTTGTTGCAGCCATATGGGCACCGTATCCTTGAAACTGGGTATTTAAACCTTCCATAGGTGGTTATTACAGTGTAAAGGTGGACTAGTAAATCTAGAGAGGTTACGTAGGAAATGAGGGTAAACATTAACTCTTAACGTTAACAACAAACGAATAACAACTTTCCTAATACATCAATGGTGATAGACATGAAATACGGTGTGATATGAGATTAAGCCTGATCATAAGTTCTACAGACTAAAAAGCACCGGTACGTAAGAACACTGAGGTAAAAACAACTCCACAAGATAGCAGAGGACCTTATTTACACTCTGAAATATATGGTACCACTGAATAAAACTTCACTTCAATAAGATTTGTG